CTTTCTCGTGTGTCAATAAGGGCACGTGTTGATTCAGCCCTCTGGTCATGCATGCTCTTCGCCATCTATTTTTATGTCCTTGCCAGTCATATTCCAGATGTGGAAAATGGTCTGGTCGACAGAATTTCGTGCATGCACAGCCCTCACCATTTTCACCGCCTGTTCTCAGGTGAGCCACCCTCCCGTTGTAGTGCACTCCAACATACGTCTCCAGCTGCCCTTTGTTTTGTCTTACAGGGTCACAATGAAGGTCGCCCTTTTCAACACAAAAGCCTTTGCTCCAAATACCCAGAAGACTTATCCCTACCAGCTGCATACTTATTGGAAGTTCTGTCGTATAGGAGCCCCCTCCCCCTCAATATTGCCTGTAACAACTTATTGCGGTATATAGCTCACCTTAGAACCACCCTTTGTTTCAATTCAGTTAAGGCATATTTAAATATTGTCCATCTAGTCCACCTACAAGACTCCTGGCATGTGTTAATTTACTCCAGGGAGTTCGCAGGCACCTTCGGCAGGCTACAAAACCCAAACTGTCTATTACCCCTGACATTCTTCGCAAGATCCAGGTGCCTAACTTTTACGTCGGCCTTAGATCTAACGTTCTGGGCATCCTGTCTTGTAGCGTTCTTTTCCTTCTTTCGCAAATCAAATCTACTGCCTGATACTTGTACCGTACTTATGTTAATTGTTTACGCCGCTCCGATTTCCGTTTTTCTCATAATTTTTGCTATTTGCATGTTCGATGGTCAAAGTTAATCCAATTTCAACAGCGAGAACCGAGAGTCCCTATCCCAGCTTAGCTTTCCGCACCAGTCTGGCACTTCCCATACCCCAGCGTTTACTTTCCTTGACGGTGGGGTGCTTAAACCCCTCACCTACTTCATCTTTGTTGACAAACTCCGCCAAACCCTCGCTTTGGTGGGCATCAACCCTACCCGTCAGACTATGCAGGACACAGTTTTCGTCGGGGTGATCTCTCATTCGCCTTACAGTGTAAACTCCCAGCAGATCTCATCCGGATTCAGGGTGACTGGGCCAGTAATTGTTACCAACGATACCTAGACCCCCTCCCCGCAATACTATCCTAAATAACACTTTGAACACCACACTGTATATGTCTATTTAAGGTTTCGACACTTTGGGACTTTGCTGTTCAATTGCCTTTTTTTATAAATGTTAAATATTTCCTTTGGCTGCAGGGAGGTACATGTATCTTCCTTGCATCAATAAAGTTTCTTTGTGCTCAAACTCCTCGTCGTTATTATTACAGTTTTTATAGTTGCCCTTTTCATTACTGCCCTGGAAGTCTAGAGTACTGTAAGTTGTTAGGCCTTTTTTAACTATACGGCGCCAAGCTATTTTGAATAATGGACTAAGCAGGCTGTGCAATAAAGTAATTATTATTTCTATGATAATTTTGGTTAAGCTAGATTTATTTAGATCTCCTCTAGGAGATTTTTTTTTATACCATTCGACGTGACCTTTTACACAACGTGATTTTTAGTATTAGCAGTAACTTTACCGCCAAACATTTCCTTGGGATTTCTAGATCTCAAACGATTCATTTTAAGCATGTAATAATTATGCGCAAAAAAATAAGCAATTTATTTCATAGCTCAGACCAAAAGTCTCATTTTCAGCTAGGACTCCAACATCGAATTAGAACGCTAGGACAGCCTATGCTGGGTTTTTTTTCACTTCTTATTAGGACCGATTGGGCTTGACTTTATTATATGGCAATTTCATAACCAGAGACGTATTTTGATGACAGGGTCCATCACTTGACAAACCAAAGTTGAGCCGGAATGAAGGCTGGATAACCCAGACTAGGATGTATTTAATTTGCAATATTCAATCATGCTATTTACTCTAATTTGACTCCCATATCACTACAGATACAAAATTTTATGTGAAGTCCAATATGAATTGTAAATCCAAGTATGTGATATATCTAATAATATGCAATGGGTGTTCTAAAAATATATTTGGAAAACTGATGACCAACTAAACATTAGAATGAATCGCCATCGTTCGCAAATTAGGCACCCGGAAGACAGAACAATCCAAGTCAGTACCCATTTGGATAAATGTGGACGAGGCGCATTCAAGGTTTTACCTCTTTACAAGGAAAATTCTAAAAAATAGTCATTTATTAGAATTTAAAGAAATGAATTTTGTTAAAAATTATATGCCCTCCTTAAATCGGAAAATTGGATTACTGAATATTAATAATGTTAGATGTTATATTTTATTATACTTTACTATCTGGAATTGTACTTAATTGGTTTGATATTTTTCCTGTTTCGTAACTACGCTCTGGCGTAACATCATTGTCTTATATTACATTATATTACATGTATATCAATATGGCTTGAAGAGGTTCAAGAGAACTGAAAACGTTAGCCATAAACATGTGTTTTTTTCATTTTTCAACGTAATTATATATATATATGTATATATATATATATATATATATATATATTTCTCTGGGAGTAGTTCAAAGAAACTTTGTATATATTACCTTTTCTATTTTCTCTCTTGTCGCTTCTTTTCTTGACAAAATCTGTCGACAAAACCGGTTAACATTTCTTCCAAGGTGAACGGCCTTTCCGGCTTTTTGCAATATACGATAAGATGATCGGAAACTACAAGTCTTTTGGCGAATGACGTCATGATATTATAGTGTGGATTAAACCAGCAAAGTGAAAATCACGCAAGGTTATTTTAATATACAATGAACATTTTAAGATGCCCAAGTTGAAAATAGAATAGGCACGTTTAGAAGAGTGAAGCGTTTTTATTTTCGCACCAACGGTCACTCTGCTTGCCGCCTTAACTTGAGCCTCTCGATTCAGGGTCATATGGGTGATTTTGTTGTTGATTGGAGCTCTTTACTACGCAAATCCTTGCTGCAAACAAACAACATGCCTCATTTTAATATCAACAAACTCTAATAATATTGAATTATTACCAACAAATCTATATAATATTGCAATTTATTGTAAGTCGCGCGCTCGGGACACTAAGTCGAGCGCTCGAGATAATTAAGTCGAGCGCTCGAGTTAATTAAGTCGAGCGCTCGGGTTAATTATCTCGAGCGCTCGAGATAATAGAATCGAACACGTCTCAACCGATGTTTTAAGCTGTATAATTTTGTGCATTATTTATTGATAAACTTGCAGAATACAGATATTCATTTGTTCGATTTTACAGCGCTTGAGATACTAAGTCGAGCGCTCGGGATAGTTAATTCGAGCGCTCGACTTAGTATCTCGAGCGCTCAAAATAATTAAGTCGAGCGCTCGAGATACTAAGTCGAGCGCTCGAGATAATATAACCGAACCGATAATATAAATTCGGTGACTTCGATATAAAAACATAGGTTGTCAGGCAACGAAACATACGCCCACAGCGGCTAAATCGCCCGTGCGGTCGACAAGAGTTGTCGCATATTTATTCCTTTGTAGGTAATTTACAAGACAGTAGTTCCATACAGACCAGATTATAATTTTTGCCGTTTGAGGGTTCACAAGGTTCTACAAATTGAAACATGTTCTCAAATTGTTGAATTTTGACAGGCTTTTTCGTTTCATAAATTTAAATGATGCATATAAATCTCATACATATCGGATGATAACTTTCATCAATCTAGTATTAACAAGGTTGAACAACGTGCAACAAGGGCAATAACTCTAGAAATAATTGACGGAAATGGCTGAAATTCAATAGGATTCTTCTCTTTACTAATTAAATGACGCATGTAAATTTCATACAGATCGGTAGATATCTTTTGATGTTACAGCATTCACAAAGTTCAATAAAGTGAAACAAGGGCCATAACTCTAGACGTAATATATAGAAATTGCTGAAATTCAATAAGCTTCTTCGATTCACTAATTTAAATAATGCATATAAATTTCAGAAAGATAGGATGATAACTTTTGGGGTTAGAGCGTTCACAAGGTTAAACAAAGTGAAACAAGGGCCATAACTCACGGCGTGATAAACGGAAATTGCTGAACTTCAATAGGCTTCTTCGATTCACTAATTTAAATGATACATATCAATTTCAAACAGATCGGATGATAACTGTTGTCATTAGAGCGTTCACAAGATTCAACAAAGTTAAACAAGGGCCATTACTCTAGATGTAATTATCGGATATTGCTGAAATTCAATAGGCTTCTTAGTTTCACAAATTTAAATAATGCATATAAATTTCAGAAAGATAGGATGATAACTTTTGGGGTTAGAGCGTTCACAAGGTTAAACAAAGTGAAACAAGGGCCATAACTCTAGAAGTAATAAACGGAAATTGCTGAAATTCAATAGGATTCTTCGTTTCCCTAATTTAAATATTGTATATAAATTTCACAAATATCCGATGTTAACTTTTGGCATTGGATCGTTCACAAGGTTCAACAGTGTGAAACAAGGGCCATAACTCTAGACGTTATAAACGGAAATTATTGAAATTAAATAGGCTTCTTCATCTCACTAATGTAAACAACAAATATCAATTTAAAAACAATTGGATTATAACTTTTGGCGTTAGAGCGTTCACAAGAAATTGTCGACGATGGACAGGCGGACGGAGGACGGGGACGACAGCAATATACGTCCACATTTCTACGTGGGCGTATAAAAATTACAATTTGGCAATTAATATCTGTGAAGATTTGGCGAATATCAAAAATCCAAAGATTATTGTTAAAAAATTTTTTTTATATAAACCCTGCAAATTCGGCGATTTCGATATCCGTTCGCATTGAATTGCTCCGAATTTAGACGGATGTTGTTGCCCAAGGGCGACGGAACTTCAAATAATCACAACCAAGAACATTTCAGTTTTGTGCTACAATTCATAATGAATATAGTAATATGCTGGGACGTAATTAATGATTGTAGACAGGTCCCTCACAAGCCTACGCGGCGCACAGGACTAAAGTTTCAGTGACGCCCCCCACCCCTCACCTTGTATACTGTAACTGCTTTGTTGTGAAGATTTTATTTGTTTTAACACTTAATATAAATAACTATTTATTAAATCAACTTACATAAAAAAATTATGCTTATTTCCCCTTCAACTCTACATTTGATCGAAAACCCTATATCTTGAAAAAATCATAATTCTACTTTCTACCCTCTCTTCTGCTGAAATATGAACTGGTTTACACAGATTTAGGGAAAACGAAGGCCGGCGATTCGCTATCTCAGCCTGTTCATAAATAGTCCATATTTTTGGTATGCACTTAGATAATTTGCCGCTCCCAAGAAGTGCCCCCCCCCCCTTCAGCCCTCCACCATATGAGGAGTCTGATTGTAGATCTCGTTTAAGAGATACACTTTAATATTGCAAATCTCAATTAATATCCCGAGATCACGAAGATAACACATAGTAAATGTCAAAATCACATTAGCGCCGCGTTACGTCTCGCCTTCGTTGCGTCTCGATTATGTTACAGTAACAATTATATAAATATTACTGCAATAACAATATTTTATGCTTTCATCACACAGAAAGTTTTTTTTTACACTTACCGTATGTTTACATCGAAAATATAAATACACAACATACATTTATAATACAATTACAAAAGACATTTATCTACCATCTTCATTATTCCGATTGGTGCAGAAAAGTAGGACGTTAAACCCTGATGAAAATCGTTCAAACAAAAGGATGTTAATAAGTAAATAAGAAGGAAAGACACGGAAGATGTGCAATTTTTTTTGAATTGATTGAATGATTTGTTTAACTGCATTGTATGCACTACTGGTTGAATTCACTTTTGACCATTGTTTGATAAAGATACATTTAAGGATATTGTATGGTGGCTGATTGGTATCATGTCTTGATGTCGACATTATAACCCGACACCACGACAACCCGACATCACGACATTTTTAACCCGACACTACGACATTTTCACCAGACACCACGACATTACGAAATGCTGTTTAACGTCCACTCGACACAAACTAGGTCATTTCGGGACTAACATATGGTTTAATTTTATTTACATAATTCGCTTAGGGGTCTTTAGTAGTGGGAGGAAACCGGAGGACCCGGAGAAAACCCACGAGGTTGGACACGCGACCCTACTCCTTGCCACGTACAACCGGGGATTCGAAACCACGCCAGTCGACTCAATGACTGACTGTATGATACAGCGCGCGCACGCTAACCATTCAGCCATCCAACCCCCACATTGATAAATAAAGTCGACACCCCGACATCACGACACCACGACAACCCGACATTTTTATGCGACAATACGACATTTTTACGCGGCATTACGACATTCTTAATGCCGTGGTGTCGGGTGAAAATGTCGTAGTGTCGGGTTAAAATTGTCATGATGTCGTGATGTCGGGTTGTCGTGGTGTCGGGTTATAATGTCGTGATGTCGGGTTGTCGCCTTATGACATCACGACATGATACCAATCAGCCGCCATAGTATTGAAACGTTGACCATAATACGCTATAAAGTTGTGTTATTAGGAATTGTGCTCAGTTGTCAAGGGCTTGAACTAGTCTCTCCAAATCAGTTCCACCTAGGACACCTTCTTCTATATTGAGATTCGTTAAATTCAATAGGAAGTCAGGAACTTGTGTTTTACCTTCCCGAATTGGTATAATACGATTGCTCTTGTGATTAGCTAGTGCGTGTGTTAGAGCTGCTTGGGATTCATGATTGCACCAGTGGCTCTTTGTAAAATTATCAGTAATATACAAAATAACCTTGTAACTACGACGTATAGCTTCATCGATATTTTGAAAAATAGTCTTTCCGGGTTCAAAATCCCTGATATCAATTAAACCCTTAAAATTTCGAATGATTTCCAAATGATGCAAAAGGCTATATTTAACACAACTTGCGTCTAGGCTACTATGTACTATAAAAAAATCATACTCGAAACCCTTCTTATTCCTCGGTTGCATGGCACCGGGTGCTTTGATTTCCTTGGCAGAAGTTTCAGCTCCTGCACACCGACAAGAAGATAAAAACTGGCGAAGGACAGAAATGGATGGGGAATCTTCAATGGCGTTCAAAACATCTAAAACAAATTCTTCAAACTGTGTACTACTCTCTTTCCATAAATACCCAAATAGTTTTGAGAAGAAGTCGATATCTGCCACGGTCATTGTCACGGTCATTGTCTTAAATGTTTTCCTGTTGTATTTTGAGAAAGCCATTTTGAACCAGAAAGCTGCTTCGGGGATAATATCTGTGTCCCCATCTTCCCACAACTCTATGTACCATGTTATTAAGGTTTGTATATCCCGAACAAAGGTAGATTGTGGGTTTTGGTTTTCCACAGATCTCTGCATACTAGCCATGGCCTGTGTATCCTCTTCTAGTGCCTTTAAGCATTCAGCATGTTCTAAATGAAGATACGAGTCTTTTCTACCATCCAAACATGTCAAGCCTTTCTGGTATGCTGCAAGGGCCTTTACCCGTATTCTTTCGTCTTTTCCACCTTTGGAGAGCAAAAGAAAACAGCGTCCTAGTTGGCGATAGCTGTAAGCAGAAGGGTTTACCCGAACAACAAGCACAAAATCTTTTACAGCAAGTTCCAAATCCTGGGTTATATCGGCCGAGCTTTCAACAGCGTTAATGAGTTCATCAAGAGCTGTATCCTCCTTTTGACATTTTGTTAAGAGACATTCTGCACGTTTAGAGTAAGAAAAATAGTTACTGTCAGAACAATCCAGTTTGATGGACCGCGAAAATTTATCCACAGCTGCATCGAAGTGTGCCTTGTGCAAAAGCCAACTTCCATACAATTCCAGCACCTCCTTGTTTTCGCTTATCTCCAACGCCTTTACAAAGCAGCTATTTGGGTCATCATAGAATTTTTCAATTTCCGTGCCTTTAATCGTGCTTGGTTTTTCAATACCGGTCATATCATCGCACCCCGTTTTATGAGATGGCATGCTTGGCTTCTTCCAGAAAAAATAACCAAAATTTGCCCATGCTAAAGCGCCCAGAGTCGAATCTTCTGGAACATTTCGCAGAATCTGAAGCAATAAGTCAATGATGTTATTATACATTTCCAAATTTTTGAACTGGGCTTGCTCTTTTAAATAGTTCCTATTGAATAGTTTTTTTAAGTTCCAAACTTTACACATCATCCATCCCGCTCTCTCAATTTGTATTTCTGACTTTCCAGAAGTCTTGTCCAGACATTCATCATACATTTCATTGGACTCGTGATATCTTCGTAATTCATGCACACTACGGTAGATTTCAAAAGCGTGCGCATACGCATGTTCTGCTTTGAAGCGCGCTAATATTAACTCATTGGTAACAACTTGGTTTCGTTTACTCTCATACTTTACAGCTTCTCTTTTACTTAAAATTCCACGACACACATAAGCCAGATTTGACAAGGCGTTCAAATTGTTTGGATCCTCAATTAAAATAGATTTAAATGTTTCATAGGATTCGTCAAGTTGCCCGATATAATAATACAGCAAACCCAGTAGATGTTTATTAGCTAATTTAAGTGATACAATGTCTCCGTTGATATAACCTTTCAAAATGGTTATTCTTGTCTCTACCTCTTGTCTGTCTTTAGCTGAATTGACATTCAGAGACAAATCAAAATGAGACCTTGGATTATACTCCATCTTGCTTAAACATAGAATCCTGAAAAAAAAAATACAAATTGATAAACAATCAATTGTTAGATTCAACAAATATTTACTAGATGCAACAAAACAGATACATTGACTCTTCCAATTCTAATGGTGTAAGGTACCATACCATGTTGATAATACATGGAACATTATCTTGTAGTGGGTAAATTAGACTAAAAGTTTAAATTTTCTCTCTCTATTTAGCTATAAATCACGCTGTTAAGAATCATTTCATTTTGAAAGACGTTTTAAGATCTGTTAAATGTTGTACACATTGTAGCCTAAGCCTATGGTGGATTTCAAAGTGTGTAGCGGACTTTCTTGCTAATGAGGGAAATTTTTCCCGGGCAGCGGCACTATGTTCACTCTTATATCGAATTTTAACTGCCAAGGGATCTTTTACGTGCATGCCAATGTATACACGGGACCTCGGTTTTTCGTCCCATTCAAACGACTAGACAGCTGTCCTGCACCACTGACAAAAGGAAACCACGACAAAAAATCCCGATGAACTTTCTCGGCCTATGCAGGGATCGAACATGCGACCTCCACTTAGCCACGGTGACTCCCCAATATAAATCACTTACTTTCCCTAAAAATCAACCTGTCTTTATATTTACATTTTATTGTTTATTTTTCTGTTTATACACCGTTTACCAGACAATAATCACTTAGTTTTTATAATTCAATGTGTTAAAACAGTTATACAAAATTGAGAAGGAAATGAATGTTACGCCCATATGTAAACAAGAACATAAGAGATAAAAGAAATCTTAAAATTCAAAATGGCATATCTCACAAACCATTTAATAAGCAAAATATCAAGATCCGAACAATCATTTTTGTTTAATTCACTGCTCTGCTACTATTCTCGCTTTAAGTGTGAAATTACAATTACGCTGATATTATCTTTAGACCTATACAAATACTAACCTATACTAAAGACAACCCCGTGATGAAAAGATTTATTACATGACTTTATTTACCAGTGAACACCCTTTGAGGTAGGACATCATTTTATTAGCGCTTAAATTTAGAAACGTGCGTCGCTCTACGTATAGCGGAACATAAAAATCAGAGAGTAAAGTCTTGTTAACCGAGACTGGCGAAGAAGGGATATTAATGTTGCAGACTTGATAACCGAATTAGTTCAAGTGAATTGAAAACTGAAAGTAAAATGTTTCTTAGAAAATACTACTTTTACTTTCGTAATTTGAAGGACCAATTTCATTATCCATTAGTAAATAAAAAAGATTAGTTGATACACTATTTTGATACATAAGATATATTCACGTGTAAAAATGCAAATATCATAATAATAACTTAATATGAATGTAGTTATTTCCAATGTTAGGTTGGGATTACCCAGTGTACCTCCTCGAAATACCCGCTGAAGAAAAAAGTCGATATCATTATCAGTATGTGTAAAGGCTACATGTTTCCACTTAAACTACCTTTTACATACATCAGTTATATTACTCACCTAAATATCTTGTGTATTTATGTAGCCACTGGTCTTGGGTCGATCACGGTTAAACAGCTATCGTTTCACTTCGTGTGTGAACAAGATAGCTTATTTTAGTGAACTGATTGCGACACACGGCTGACTCCGTATACTATGGTGTTCTATTTCAGCCACTTTGTACCTCGACATAATTATTGTGAAAAACTACGCGCGTCGCATTCACCCTTTGCACAAATCAACAATATATAATAAATAAATTCAACAATAAATATTGATAATTACCCAATTAAAAAAAAAACAAAAAAACAAAACACAATAATAAAAAAAAACACAACAACAACGAAAATCGCTCCAATGTTTATTCTACGGTTGACCATCGGACACATCCGAAATATAAAATATATGTGGTTATATTACACCTACCAAAACAACATGTAAATGTAATTCTATATATATTTAGTATGGGTATCTATCTAATAGCTTAGATAGCCATTGTTATTTTTATAATTTGATTAAATTAATTTTTAAGTGTTGTCGCCTGTGGCATGCGTGCTGCATCATCAATGAAGTTCCATTTCTGGAAGGGGTGTTTTCAAGAGCGACGTCATGTTAAAAAGGCGATGTCGGCTTTTTTCGCCATAGCTTAACATTAACATATGAAGCTGAGCAGAAGTCGTTCTTTGCGTTGCGCGGCTTATTTCACAAAGGCGACACGAAACGCTGGGGGTGGCTGAGCAGTGTCACAATCAAATGGTGTCATGTAGTCCCCACTACTCTTTTTTTTAAAAAAAAGTTTATTCAGATATACTGTTCATTCATATATACATAACTACAATATAAACAGTATTACACAATAAGACAAGACACACAATTAACATTATTTACCACGATGCACTTACACCCCCCTCCACCCCGACCGCAGAAAAGGGTTATTAAAAAGGAAGAAAAATAAAACCACCTTGCCATCCCCCACAGTAAGAGTAAAGACATGATGTATTTTGTATTTTAGATTTCTTCGAGTTATAGTTCTTCTTTCGTTCCAGCACACTTTATCAAAATATTATTTTTCCTTATTATTATTTTTTTGTTGTTCTCTATACGAAAGTGTGCGAAATTTTAGAGACAAATAACCAAAACATGTTGTTATTCGAAAGTCAACAGTGTAGTTTATAATTGAAGGGACGGTTTAAACTATTTTCAAGGTATAAATTGGTTAACTACAACTAGTAAGCTATGGTGCGAAGAACAGACCACTTTGATGTGTGGACATATAATGTATTATTATTATTCAAAGCTATTATATGTTCAATTGATTCTCGGTATCTTAGTTTTTGCAGAAATGTGAGAGGCTAATAGAACTATTTTGGCATTTACAGCACATGATAAAATATTTGGTTAATAGAGTTAAAAAAATCGACGAAGTTCGTATGTCCTCCAATATTGCTGTCATGTATTATTACATTTTTAAAATCTAACTTAAAGTCGACACAAATTGTTTTTATTATATTTGATATCTCTTCCCATATAGGGTTAACTTTTCTACACGAGATAGTGTTCAGTAGTATCTAATTCATTACAATGTACGCAAAAGGGCGATTTAGAGGGGATTTATGGGAGATTAGATAACGAGTTAACAGTTCTCGCTATAATAGTTAAAACATAGATAACGTAGATAGAATATGCTGAAAATTTCAGTCAAATTGCTCCACTTTGAACCAAGGTATTAGCGTTTGAATTTTAGGCTAGTTTCGGTCATCATTACTAAAGTCAGTACGATAAAAAAAAGTTTCGATTATCCAGTTTACCGTTTAGTTATTTTTCAAAAAATGTATTGCGATGCCAGGGCTAAAGAAAGACCTGCAATAGCCAGATTTAGTTCATACATTGTGTATGTTTAGAAAGTACAAATTGTGTTGGTAGTTATTTATGTATAACTTAAACTGGAAGTTTCGAGTTTTTGGATCTGTGCATATTTTACGTAAGTGCATAAATGGATTGAAATTATCTTTTATTTTGAATTCTCTCCATTTTGTCCTTGAGAGGTCAATGTTTTTGTACTCTCTCAACTGATCATATATGCATATTTATTTACTTTATTTATTAACAAAATTTTATCGAATGTTGTTGTTTTACCCTGCGTACAATATAGTTTTTGATACTGCATATTAAACCGTGATATACAAGAACATTAAATTTAATATTATACTGTTTTCGAAAAGAATCGAATAGATCTGACAACCCGTGTATTCCTACTGCATACCATTTCTTATAGAAGATAATTTTGTTATTGATATTTATGTTAGAGTTATACCATATAACAGAGTTTTTATGGCACAAGGGAGTGAAATTAATATATGCTCAGGATGTTAAAATATCGCGTATAAATATATAATTTGTTAATCTTTATAAAGGCAACATCTTTCGGGTTTAAATTGAATTCAAAGGGGTTGGTTAGTTTTGCTTGTTGGATTGAGTTCTTCTAAATTGGCTTAGTATTATTTTGTATGGCTCTTTTCACCCAATTAATCTTTATTGATTTAGCGAAAGTAAAAATATCTGGAGCATTTAAATAATTTGTCTATTCCCTTAAGAGTTTCCTCATTTGGTGTTGATAACAAAGATAGTTGGTAAATAATTTTCGGTCGGATTATTACTTGTTTTGGACCTTGGGTCGAAACACGTATCGTTTCTGTAAGTGTTTTTATTAATTTTTTGTGGAATTTAGTCAGTTTGTGTAGCCAAAACTTGCCCAAAACTGTAAATGGTGCAAACATTCTGCCAACGTAGATGTGGTTGACCTCCGTGCGTCTATTTATTAAATATAAATTGGGTCATTTTTAACGAACAGGAAGGGTTTTACGGATGGGACCAAAAATAATTTTAGATTGCCCATATCTCGGTTATTTCTCAACGGATTTTTGGATTCTTTGGACGAATCCCATATGGGCTCTGACTGACGGTTTTTCGAAATTCGGAAGCTTTTTCATCATTTTTTCGACATTCAAGATGGCATATCTCCGTCACTATTTGAGGTATCAAGTTGAAACTTGGTAGGAATAAGTAACACATCGATGCCTTCAAACTGGCATATTAAAAAAAAATTGTGACGGCTTCCAAAAACTTCCAGAAATTACCGAGGCCTTCCTATTTTCCCCGAACATGAATAGTTCCCTCCATTTTAAAAATAGACAAAAAATGACATGGTGGTGTTAGCCCCAGATATTATCCCTCATTTTCAAAGACCTTGCTCCATAACATTTTCAACCGCTTGGCCACCGATTTGGATTTTACAAAAAGACATTCAAATCGATATTCAGCCGCCATTTTAATTCCGATTTTCGAAAACTTTTTTTTTGTATTGAACCTACTCCAAATGGCAACAATCTTTGGGAGCCGATTTTTGAATTTCGATGTTTTTTTACTTCCGGTTTCACTTTGAAGTTTGTTCGACTTTTCACCATCTAGATGGTGACCTAACCTTTGTATCTATGATGACCCTGGTGTCTACTAACAATTAATATAAAAAAGTTTGTCCATGAAGTAATGACAGGTTTTTCCACTTTAATAGGTATTGGATGTTACTAAACTCAATAATTCATGGTGTAACTTGAATGTTGACGTGACAGGGCGTGACGTGACGTGACATACCGAAACACATCAGTACTCCTTAGGAGTTCTAGTTGATTTTAAAATTACAATTCGGTCACTCAGTTGTCCCCCTACCCACCCACAGGTTTCGGAATGGAATATTGTCCTGGTAGTCACATTTTAACCGCCCTTCGCAAAAAGAGGAGAGAGACCGAGAGAAGAGAGAGGCAGAGAGAGAGGGGGCGCTACATGTGGTCTGCATCCACTTCCTGCAGTAAGCCTAGGGTTTATCTCCCTTCAACTGTTTATTCCATAATGTTCCCAACACTACAGATTGATTGGATTCAGCATTAACAGAAAACTGCCAACTGAACCTTCTGTTACTTCTGACAACAAAGAAAGAGAACTGAAAATGATGCAAAATCAAATGGACGAATTTACAATATCCAGTGTAACTGTAAAGGTGTTTCGCGATTTAGCTATATTGTGCTCGAAATGCGGATGGTGCAGGAGGCATTTGGGGAGGGGGGGGGGCGAGTCGCTTCCCCATAATATTTTAAAAGTTAGACGGCCGCAAACCTCTTTTCTACATATCAGTAAATAGAAAGTTTTTCAATGCAGCCTTATTTATGTGGTTTTGCAATCCATGCCCCAAATACATGCCCAAAGGAATTTCAGATTGCGTATAACCAATCAATCAAATTGGGTATAACCAAATTTAATCAAATCTTTGCAATCAAGATTACAAATTTCCAGTCAAAATATATCGAAACACCCCTGTTTGAATATAGTGTTAATATTTTGTGTTCTGTGGGAGGTATTCAATCTTCCTGATCCAGCAAAGAAACAAACAAACTAAAGTTTAAGTATAAGATTTAATATGATTCTGTCGAGTTCAAAAATAGAGGCATGGATCACCTGATCAACTAACCGTTGGATCTGAGCCTGCGTCAGTCTGTTCCATTCCTGATGTAGTGCCTGATCCAAATCGTCAAAATTCTGCATTGGTGGATACCTCTGACAGTTTTTACACCCTAGAATGTCCCAGATATGATCAATTTGATTCACGCCAGGGCTTCTGGCTGGCCAAGGTAGTGTAGAAACGACCCCCTAACGCAGTAAATAGACAACGGCACGCACACGGTGTGCTCTGGCGTTGTCATCCATAAAGATTGGTCTTGTGAGAAGAGGATTGTCAAAATGAGGCACTACAACCCTCTCCAGGATCTCTGTTCTGTAACCTCTATAGTGAAAGTTTGCAGTCATAAGGCAATCCCATGTCATTATAGAGTCGCTGCTGAATGGAACTGTTTGTTCTCTTGCAGACGTTCTGTGATGTCTACCAGAACGTTGACGGTCCTTTAAGGAATTAGTCTGTTGATGTTTTCGCGTTAATCGACTAATGGTTGAAAGGTGGTGACCCAATTCTCGTGCAATTTGTCTCATTGACATACCGGCATTCCTCATATTTTCGCTGTAGTGACTTGAATATAGACAGTGAACACAACAATTTTAAACTTTCCTCAATGCAATGGCTGATTTCCCAAACATGTCTTTCATGATGC